TATGGTGTTGTGTCCGTGTCTTGTGGTGTTGTGTCCGTGTCTTGTGTTGCTGCTGGTGTTGTGTCCGTGTCTTGTGTCCGTGTCTTATGGTGTTGTGTCCGTGTCTTGTGGTGTTGTGTCCGTGTCTTGTGTTGCTGCTGGTGTTGTGTCCGTGTCTTGTGTTGCTGCTGGTGTTGTGTCCGTGTCTTGTGGTGTTGTGTCCGTGTCTTGTGTTGCTGCTGGTGTTGTGTCCGTGTCTTGTGTCCGTGTCTTATGGTGTTGTGTCCGTGTCTTGTGGTGTTGTGTCCGTGTCTTGTGTTGCTGCTGGTGTTGTGTCCGTGTCTTGTGTTGCTGCTGGTGTTGTGTCCGTGTCTTGTGGTGTTGTGTCCGTGTCTTGTGTTGCTGGTGGTGTTGTGTCCGTGTCTTGTGTTGCTGGTGGTGTTGTGTCCGTGTCTTGTACTGCTGGTGTTGTGTCCGTGTCTTGTGTTGCTGGTGGTGTTGTGTCCGTGTCTTGTACTGCTGGTGGTGTTGTGTCCGTGTCTTGTGTTGCTGGTGGTGTTGTGTCCGTGTCTTGTACTGCTGGTGTTGTGTCCGTGTCTTGTGTTGCTGGTGGTGTTGTGTCCGTGTCTTGTACTGCTGGTGTTGTGTCCGTGTCTTGTGGTGCTGGTGGTGTTGTGTCCGTGTCTTGTGTTGCTGGTGGTGTTGTGTCCGTGTCTTGTACTGCTGGTGTTGTGTCCGTGTCTTGTGTTGCTGGTGGTGTTGTGTCCGTGTCTTGTACTGCTGGTGGTGTTGTGTCCGTGTCTTGTGTTGCTGGTGGTGTTGTGTCCGTGTCTTGTACTGCTGGTGTTGTGTCCGTGTCTTGTACTGCTGGTGTTGTGTCCGTGTCTTGTGTTGCTGGTGGTGTTGTGTCCGTGTCTTGTGTTGCTGGTGGTGTTGTGTCCGTGTCTTGTACTGCTGGTGTTGTGTCCGTGTCTTGTGTTGCTGGTGGTGTTGTGTCCGTGTCTTGTACTGCTGGTGGTGTTGTGTCCGTGTCTTGTGTTGCTGGTGGTGTTGTGTCCGTGTCTTGTACTGCTGGTGTTGTGTCCGTGTCTTGTGTTGCTGGTGGTGTTGTGTCCGTGTCTTGTGTTGCTGGTGGTGTTGTGTCCGTGTCTTGTGTTGCTGGTGGTGTTGTGTCCGTGTCTTGTACTGCTGGTGTTGTGTCCGTGTCTTGTGTTGCTGGTGGTGTTGTGTCCGTGTCTTGTGTTGCTGGTGGTGTTGTGTCCGTGTCTTGTACTGCTGGTGTTGTGTCCGTGTCTTGTGTTGCTGGTGGTGTTGTGTCCGTGTCTTGTACTGCTGGTGGTGTTGTGTCCGTGTCTTGTGTTGCTGGTGGTGTTGTGTCCGTGTCTTGTACTGCTGGTGTTGTGTCCGTGTCTTGTGTTGCTGGTGGTGTTGTGTCCGTGTCTTGTACTGCTGGTGTTGTGTCCGTGTCTTGTGTTGCTGGTGGTGTTGTGTCCGTGTCTTGTACTGCTGGTGTTGTGTCCGTGTCTTGTACTGCTGGTGGTGTTGTGTCCGTGTCTTGTGTTGCTGGTGGTGTTGTGTCCGTGTCTTGTACTGCTGGTGTTGTGTCCGTGTCTTGTGTTGCTGCTGGTGTTGTGTCCGTGTCTTGTGTTGCTGGTGTTGTGTCCGTGTCTTGTACTGCTGGTGGTGTTGTGTCCGTGTCTGCCTTGCCAGACGTCGACTTATAGGTAGTAAAGATCACCCAACAGGCGAGTGGGGAAGGATGGAGAGGGCCAGGTCTTACCCCAACTGTTGGTCGACTGTTGGTTCGAAAAGGCAAGTATACTCACAAAGGATGTTGCAATGTGTTTAATATCCTTAGCATCATGAAGCCTATTGTTACAGTGGTGAGTGGACTGGACATCTGAGCTGTTAACATGTACGCTGGGGAAGCATGTGGGTCCCTCACGCCAGGGCAGATCGTGCTAGACTGAGGTGAAGTGTTTAGCAGAAGAATGATGTAGACCAGACCACACACTAGAAGTTCAAGGGACGACGACGTTTCGGTCCGTCCTGGACCATTCTCAAGTCGATTGTGAATGACTTGACTCACAATCGACTTGAGAATGGTCTAGGACGGACCGAAACGTCGTCGTCCCTTCAACTTCTAGTGTGTGGTCTGGTCAACATACTTCACCCACGTTATTGTGACTCATCGCCTGCACAAGAATGATGTAGTTACTGGTACATAGTTACGTGCACGTTGGTTGTGTAGGTGCTCCTTGTGTTGTGTTGAAGAGGTTGTGGGAGTGTGTTTCCTTCGTCATCTGAGTGTATTAGTAAGGAAATTGATGGGATATCTATATCCAAGTTGTCTGTCAGTTTGTTTGTGTATTAGTGGTTTCCAGTATGTGTTGAATTCCGGAATGTTTGTTGTGTTGTGAAGACTGACGCCAGTGGTGCAATCCTGCCAGTGTTGTGAAGACTGACGCCAGTGGTGCAATCCTGCCAGTGTTGTGAATCCATGTGAGTACACAATTTTGTATTCTCTGTAATTTTAATTTGTTTTGGGTGGAAGTGAATTTGGAGCAGTTAATAAGGGCGAATAAGGGCTTTGTGTAAGTGAGTTGTATCTGCTCTACGCTAAACGATATGAAGAGTTAAACTGGTTTGAGTAGCAGCCTTCTCTGGTCCGTGACAATGCTGAAATTCACTCCTCCTCTCTGAAGATTTCGGCGAAGTGAAAGTCAATAAACACCTTCTGGAATAGTTAGTGGAATAAGTCTAAACATTACAGTACAAAAGGCTAGGGGGAAGACCTAAGTGTAGTTGCTAAAGGGAAGGGATAGGTGGAGGGAGGGGAGGGAGGGAATTATCAGGGGAACGCACCAAGCCAGGGATAGGTGGAGCATCTAAGGAAAAATCTCAAGATAAAAGGTAAGATGAAATGACGAGAGAAACAGCTAAGGGAACTGAAGTATAAGGAAAGTCATTAAGAGTGTCAGTCATTTATCACGTGAGACCAACCCAATCATCCTGGTTTGATCCGCGCTGAAGAAGCAGTATTTCTTATATTATTCTGTTGAAATTAGTTTCTGCCATCTAACCGAACACCTACCAACTCATTGTACAACCAATTACAAAGGAGATATCTAGGTAACGTTAGATATCTCCCTTCTGACATACTACCAGAGATAACGTTACCTCATCTCTGGTAGTGACTCCAGACCGTAGGAGCCTGACTCGTCTCTGGTAGTGACTCCGGACCGTAGGAGCCTGACTCGTCTCTGGTAGTGACTCCAGACCGTAGGAGCCTGACTCGTCTCTGGTAGTGACTCCAGACCGTAGGAGCCTGACTCGTCTCTGGTAGTGACTCCAGACCGTAGGAGCCTGACTCGTCTCTGGTAGTGACTCCAGACCGTAGGAGCCTGACTCGTCTCTGGTAGTGACTCCAGACCGTAGGAGCCTGACTCGTCTCTGGTAGTGACTCCAGACCGTAGGAGCCTGACTCGTCTCTGGTAGTGACTCCAGACCGTAGGAGCCTGACTCGTCTCTGGTAGTGACTCCAGACCGTAGGAGCCTGACTCGTCTCTGGTAGTGACTCCAGACCGTAGGAGCCTGACTCGTCTCTGGTAGTGACTCCAGACCGTAGGAGCCTGACTCGTCTCTGGTAGTGACTTTAAGATCATAAGAATGAATAGACATAAATGATTTTCAAGAGCATGACCATCTAGAGGATAGGTTGCTCCTGTTGAATGTCCCTGCCATTAACTTCAATGGCGGGGAAGATGTTTTTCTCTTGCTAAATGACGAGTAGTGACGGAAGGGAAGGGAACTATCAGGAGAACGCGCCAAGCCATCACGACTATATACCACTTGGAAGGGATCAGAATAAGGGATGGGACGGGGGGAAGGAATGGTGCCCAACCGCTGTGGTTGGTCGGTACAGCGGTGGGGGATCACTTTCTGCTCTCAGCGTTCGATCCCCGATGGTCCAGGTGGTTGAGCAGCGTGCTTACACTCCAGCCATAAACCCCATCTCCTTAATGTTCTCATATACTGTAATACAGTGATGCTGGCTTAGGGTTTCCTACTGATAAATATTTTCTCTCTCCTCCAGGCACACGTCCTCCTCAGAGCGTCTTGGGTGTTGAACTTCCGCGGATCTCCACTACTTGCACGGTAGGGAGCACGCCTTCGCTCGTTTCTTATCTTGTCTCACCTTTGTGTCTCAGCCTGGTATCTTGACAGGGGCAGTCATGTGTATAACTAAGAGGTAAGTAATACTTTGAACACGTGCAGGCCAGTTGGCACAACAAGACACGATGAAGTTATTGATATCATCAAGAGGAGCCTTGCCTCTGCCCAGTGTCCAGCAGAGACAGAGCCTCATATTCAATTACATTGTAATTCCACTGTCCTTGCTGGTCGAGCAGATGGAATCACACTAAGCCCATGAAGAAATGGCAGACAGTTGGCGTGGGACTATACTTATATATCCATCTTGGCAGCCACATGTGGCTGCCTCTGTTTGTACCCTCTGGGGTACAAACTTCCTTTACTTTCCTCTTAATGCTCAAATTTTGTAACCATTTATTTGTGTAACTGTGTAACATTGCATGATAAAGTATATAATAAAACGGGTGGTAAGAGAAGCAAATACTCACATGCATATAGTGTCAAACGAAAAGTTTATCTCGGAATGCCCTTTATTCCCTTCTCCAAGGTTATGGGACCCCACACTTGCAGCAGAAATGGAAGCCCCTGTATGTCTCGATATATCTGATCTCGAGTTTTGTAATCATGTCGAGGGTTCTGTGTTTATCTTAACAGCTGAACACAATTGTTCGTACACAATGTTTCATTTTCACACGAAGGCTGTTGGCCAGGGTATTTCCTTTCGTTATAGCGGCTGTGTTGCGTACGTTATGGCATATCCGCTTTACATTCGTATCCGTGCGGGACGCCGCATTTTTATAGCGCAACGACAAAAGTCTGGCGGTGTAAAATATAACCCTGTAAGAGACACAATACATGTAGGCACCATGAAAACTTTCCTGACCACGGCCTCGCGTCAGCTGTGTCAGCTCCACCAACTTATATTTGAGGTGCCGAATGTCAGCTGCGGCAGCTGGTGGTCAGGAATGTCAGCTGCGGCAGCTGGTGGTCAGGGAATGTCAGCTGCGGCAGCTGGTGGTGAGGAATGTCAACTGCGGCAGCTGGCGGTCGGGGTGTGTCAGCTGCGGCAGCTGGTGGTCAGGGAATGTCAGCTGCGGCAGCTGGTGGCGAGGAATGTCAGCTGCGGCAGCTGGTGGTGAGGAATGTCAGCTGCGGCAGCTGGTGGTGAGGAATGTCAGCTGCGGCAGCTGGTGGTCAGGGAATGTCAGCTGCGGCAGCTGGTGGTGAGGAATGTCAGCTGCGGCAGCTGGTGGTGAGGAATGTCAGCTGCGGCAGCTGGTGGTCGGGGTGTGTCAGCTGCGGCAGCTGGTGGTCAGCTGCGGCAGCTGGTGGTGGAAAATAAACAATACTATAACATTTACAACAACAAAAAGGCCACCAAATTTCCTTGTTTACACGATGGCTGTTTGCATGACAAGCAGCACACACACACACACACACACACACACACACACACACACACACACACAGCAGCTCTATGAACCCCTTCAAGGTCCCAGCTCACCGTGTAACCACACAGGTTCGTGTTTCTTGTAGTCTAATAAGAGCCACAGCAACGCGTGGCCGGGTACAGCTAGTAGTCTAATAAGACCTTGGCTGTGAATTATTTCAGCTTGTGATGTGTGAGTTTGGTGTTGTGTTGGGACTGGTTTAGTAGAGATGGGTAGGCAGGAATTGGGGGGAAGGTGATTATCTAATTGTACTTCCTTAGTTGTGACTAAGCTGAGTGTAATCTACTTCTTGGGCTCCGCCTCATTGATGATGTACCTAGGGTTTATATTGATTACATTCGACACTCTTTGAGTGTGATGAGTGAAGTTAGTTCACAACTACGAGTGCACTCAGCGTAGCCATAAGTGCACTCAAAGCACCCAATGCACGCGACGCACTCAACGCTTCAACCAGGAACGTAGACGACGAGAAGAATATCAAACTTAATTAGAAATTAAGCCTTTGGTTCTAACTTAAAACATAGATAACTTTATTACCAAGTCCAGCTGTAATCAAACTACTGGTAAATAGATCAGTAACTGGTGTGAAATAACTGTAACAATCAGTACCCAACAGTCTGTTGTTAAAGATTCGCTACCTGGAACAAAGTTCCAAGTAGCACGGGCTAGGGTGACCCCGTAGAGGACCCAACAGTCTACGACCGGAGCTGTTGCTTACGCTCTAAACTTTCATGGTTCCCGTGGCATAGCAGGCTACGTCCTCGGCTCACAATCGCGGGACGTAAGCTGTTGTAAGTAAACAGAAACGGGTGGGTACGTTTTCTTTCAACTGTTGTGGGTTGCTTCCTGGAGAACGTCCGTCGTTGGCCTTAGGAAGACTTCGATAAATTTAAGAACGAGTCTTCATGTCCCCGACAACGGGAATGATGTCTTGTGGCATCCTAGAGAACGGAAACTACCGTTGTCAACACCACGAAGACACGCCTGTTGTCAACGCCACGAATTGACAGGCTTGGAGGCGTTGACAGCAACGTTGACAACGCCTCCAAGATACAAGGATATCAGGCGGGTGAACCCACAATGCAAGGAATCCTTAATAAAAAGAATTGCCAGCAATTAAGCAAAATTCAAAACATCAGTCAATGCATCAGGGAAAAAAAAATTTATAAAGTAAATTAAATTATGAAGAGAAGGCACTATAAACCAGGATAACGATATAGCACATGGAGGGAATAGATGGAGAGAATGGGAGCTGAGATATAGGAGGGATGGATTCGAGACACGATGCCCAACCACTAGCACTATCAGGGCCTCGAACGCCGATCATCAAGAACTGTACCAACCAGTGCCAAATAGATTTCCCTAATTTAGAGCAAAGCCAAATCCATGTTATCATGAAACACATTTCGTTCTTGCCCATATCTACATATTCCTATCATCCTGAATTCAAGAAATCACTTGCAATTGTGAAATCTACTTGAAATCGACTCTTGAAATCTAATCTTCCATTTAAACTATTAGAACGCAAGAACGTAAGAACGCAAGAACGCAAGAACGCAAGAACGCGCTCTCTCGACGCCGAACGGGAAAAAGGAACCTCCTTTGGAACACATCTGTGAGATGCTACTTTCGCGGCGCCGGTGAACTGAATTTGTCGCTTCCAGACGCAATCAGCCAAAGCGACAGTGAATTAAATTAGCTTCTTGTAAAAAAAAATAATTATCTTAAGATCTCCATGATATGAATTTCCTCCCGCCTTGGTGTAATGGGTGCGGTTGATGGGTGTTATGGGTGGATGACTAGCCTTGAGGACACTACTAGCCTCGAGGACACTACTAGCCCCGAGGACACTACTAGCCTCGAGGACACTACTAGCCCCGAGGACACTACTAGCCTCGAGGACACTACTAGCCTCGAGGACACTACTAGCCCCGAGGACACTACTAGCCCTGAGGACACTACTAGCCTCGAGGACACCAGCCCCGAGGACACTAGCCCTGAGGACACTACTAGCCTCGAGGACACTACTAGCCCTGAGGACACTACTAGCCCTGAGGGCACTACTAGCCTCGAGGACACTAGCCCCGGGGACACTAGCCCCGAGGACACTAGCCCCGAGGACACCAGCCCCGAGGACACTAGCCCCAAGGACACCAGCCTCGAGGACACTAGCCCTGAGGACACTAGCCCTAAAGACACTCGCCCTGAGGACACTACTAGCCTCGAGGACACTAGCTCCAAGGACACTAGCCCCGAGGACACCAGCCCTGAGGACACTAGCCCTAAAGACACTAGCTCTGAGGACACTACTAGCCCTTAGGACACTAGCCCTGAGGACACTTCTAGCCTCGAAGACACTAGCTCCGAGGATATTAGCCCCGAGGACACTAGCCCCAAGGACACTAGCCCTGAGGACACTAACTTTGAGGACACCATCTCCGAGGACACTAGTCCCAAGGACACCAGCCCCGAAGACACTAGCCCCGAGGACACCAGCCCCAAGGACACCAACCCCGAGGACACTAGCCCCGAGGACACCAGCCCCGAGGACACCAGCCCCGAGGACACTAGCCCCGAGGACACCAGCCCCGAGGACACCAGCCCCGAGGACACTAGCCCCGAGGACACTAGCCCCGAGGACACTAGCCCCGAGGACACCAGCCCCGAGGACACCAGCCCCGAGGACACCAGCCTCGAGGACACCAGCCCCGAGGACACCAGCCTCGAGGACACAAGCCCCGATGACATCAGCCCCGAGGACACTAGTCCCAAGGACACCAGCCTCGAGGACACTAGTCCCAAGGACACCAGCCTCGAGGACACTAGCCCCGAGGACACCAGCTTCGAGGACACCAGCTTCGAGGACACCAGCCCCGAGGACACCAGCCCCGAGGACACCAGCCCCGAGGACACCAGCCCCGAGGACACCAGCCCCGAGGACACCAGCCCCGAGGACACTAGCCCCGAGGACACTAGCCCCGAGGACACCAGCCCCGAGGACACCAGCCCCGAGGACACTAGCCCCGAGGACACCAGCCCCGAGGACACCAACCCCGAGGACACTAGCCCCGAGGACACCAGCCCCGAGGACACTAGCCCCGAGGACACCAGCCCCGAGGACACCAGCCCCGAGGACACTAGCCCCGAGGACACCAGCCCCGAGGACACTAGCCCCGAGGACACTAGCCCCGAGGACACCAGCCCCGAGGACACCAGCCCCGAGGACACCAGCCCCGAGGACACTAGCCCCGAGGACACCAGCCCCGAGGACACCAGCCCCGAGGACACCAGCCGCGAGGACACTAGCCCCGAGGACACTAGCCCCGAGGACACCAGTCCCGAGGACACCAGTCCCGAGGACACCAGCCCCGAGGACACCAGCCCCGAGGACACCATCCCCGAGGACACTAGCCCCGAGGACACCAGCCCCGAGGACACCAGCCCCGAGGACACCAGCCCCGAGGACACCAGCCCCGAGGACACTAGCCCCGAGGACACCAGCCCCGAGGACACTAGCCCCGAGGACACCAGCCCCGAGAACACTAGCCCCGAGGACACCAGCCCCGAGGACACTAGCCCCGAGGACACTAGCCCCGTAGGACACTAGCCCTGAGGACACCAGCCCCGAAGACACCAGCCCCGAGGACACCAGCTCCGAGGACACCAGCCCCGAGGACACCAGCCCCGAGGACACTAGCCCCGAGGACACCAGCCATGAAGGACACATACCAATCCGGCTCGACTCAACAGCCAGGGTGAGTGTGAGAAGCATTAAGGATTCCCTCTCAACCTACCGACAGTGGTAGTGGCAGGCCTCACCTCTCTTCATGGTCCCAGGAAGGCTATTGTCAGGCTTTTTAATGGAGTGCTTTTTGTGCAGGAATTTGTGTATGCAGGTTAAGGTGGGAAGGTGTGTGTTTGTGTGTGTGTGTGTTTGTGTGTATGTGTGTGTTATTATAAAAGTGTAGTTACAGGATGAGAGCTACGCTCGTGGTGTCCCGTCTTCCCCATACTCTTTGTCGTATAACGCTTTGAAACTTCTGACGGTTTTGGCCTCCACCCTTTAATTTGCTTAATAACACACTAGTTTCTATAGCAGCTATCTTACCCTTACTCTTACTTAAATCTGTGTATTTAAGTTTGTGTGTTAGATTAGCATCTGAAAAGCACTACAATCACCTTCTGTGGTTGATTGTTCAATAAATCACTGAACTATGTGTTTAACAGGTCTCTAGGCCTATCCATGGAGGACAGAAGAAAAGGTCTATATGTTGGTTAGCATTGTAAATGTGTGGCCACGTCTGTGGTAGAAATTAATAAGAAAAAAATAATAATAAAGTACCAGTCTCGGCATGTTCATACTACTGTGTATTCCAGTTTGCTTCTTGGGTGTAATTGTTGTACACAAGACGTATAAGAGGTTACCCAAGAAGTGTAACACTTCCTGTGTAACCTATTAGGTCCTCACTCCTCACTCCTATTACCTAATACTTCTTCTTAAACCCTTGGTACTCCTCCCTACCACTTGTAGTCTCTCATGTATCTCTCACTAGTCCGTGATACCTCCTCGCCCATTCTGTGCTCCCTCATACCTGTGTCTATCAACCGCATAAACGTTAGCCTCCAAGTAATACTCAACACACCAGGTATTGAGCCTCCTCCCGTCCACCCAGGTGAGGTTGGGTTGGACGGTAGAGCGACAGTCACGCTTCATGCAGGTCGGCGTTCAATCCCCCCGACCGTCCAAGTGGTTGGGGCATCATTCCTACCCCCACGTCGCATCCCAAATCCTTATCCTGACCCCTTCCCAGTGCTATATAGTCGTAATGGCCTGGTTCTTTTCCCTCTGATAGTTCCCTCACCCCACCCAGGTGAGGTGTGTGTGTTAGTAAACAATGCCCCCCTCCCCCTACTCCCCCCCCCTGCTCCATTCTCATTAGCCTGGGAGGAGGTTTTTGTGTGACCAGTACAACAGCTGTGAAGGGCCAGAAAGGGGAAGGAATAATTTGCACTGTAACTTGGTAATCGGTTATAATAAAAAGCTAATTATAAAATCATTTGATATTACAGATTGCCTGAGGCTCTCGTTTCTGGAAGTGGGTTGAGGGTCGAGGCTCCACCAGCACGACATGCGGAGGTTGTTGTGTGTTGGGGCTTTATTGGACCTTTTTCTGTTTGTCTCTTTGCTTAGCCGACCGTCCAAGTGGTTGGGCACTATTCCTTTCCCCCCGTCCCATCCCAAATCCTTATCCTGATCCCTTCCCAGTGATGTAAAGTCGTAATCGCTTGTCGCTTTTCCTTGATATTGAAATTAAATCTTTTCTTAGCTCTTTATATATATATAATTTCTTCCTACTTTATTTAAAGTAGGAGTCTTTAAAAGTAACAAGAGGGAGGAACTACGAATATAAAGCAAGGATCTGTGGTTATCATTCTTGTGGGATAATAAAAGCTTTCCAGTACATTATATATGATTCGAATGTTTTCTGAGTTAAAATTACCATTGAAATTTGATCAAACTGAACCTACGCTAACCTAAGATATACAGATAGAGATAAATATATAGAGATAGAGACAGATAGACCCGGGCAACGCCGGATAACCTCCCCTCCCCCCCCCCCCACCATCTACTAAAGCTATATTGGTGCTCAGTCTTCTCTGTTCAGCAGTCTGGATGGAGCGTGTACTCACCTAAATGAGTACTTGAGTGTATGTGTGTGTGTCATGCGTGTGTACGTTTCTGGGGGGGCGGGGGGTGTACGTGTCGGGGTGTATGTGCTTGTACTCACCTAGTACTCACCTAGTTGTGTTTGCGGGGGTTGAGCTCTGGCTCTTTGGTCCCGCCTCTCAACCGTCAATCAACAGGTGTACAGATTCCTGAGCCTATCGGGCTCTATCATATCTACACTTGAAACTGTGTATGGAGTCAGCCTCCACCACATCACCCCCTAATGCATTCCATTTGTCAACCACTCTGACACTAAAAAAGTTGTTTCTAATATCTCTGTGGCTCATTTGGGCACTCAGTTTCCACCTGTGTCCCCTTGTGCGTGTTCCCCTTGTTGTGTTGTGTGGGCGTGTGTGTGTGTGTGTGTGTGTGTGTGTGTGTGTGTGTGTGTGTGTGTGTGTGTGTGTGTGTGTGTGTGTGTGTGTAGAGACAACTGACGACCTCTATATGATAAAGTTCCGTTTCTTGAAAGATAATATTAGGATTAATATGTGAAAGAGTAATGAACAACAATAATATGTACACCGCACTTTTGCTCAATAGCCAGATTGCGATCAACTCAACTTTTAGCAAAAAAAAGTTATACCTCTGGATCAACTCAAATTGGCTTCCCCCCCCCCACTCAATCCTCCCCCCCCCCCTCCCTCTATATATAAAAATTCATCACAACTTTTTTAATCATATACACGAAAGTTCAATAACAGCAAAGCTCTCCAACTTGCATATATATATATATATATATATATATATATATATATATATATATATATATATATATATTCATATTTATATATAATATATATATATTTATTTATTTACTATTTGTATCGGCAGAATCGAGTTATTAGCTCTTAGACCCCGCCTTTTTAACCAATTTATTTTTCGTCTATTACGTCTTCTATTTATATTTCTCTCTAGCACACACACACACACACACACACACACACACACACACACACACACACACACACACACACACACACACACACACACACACACACACACAAATGAGCTACAGAGATATTAGAAAGAACTTTTTTAGTGTCAGAGTGGTTGACAAATGGAATGCATTAGGCAGTGATGTGATGGAGGCTGACTCCATACACAGTTTCAAGTGTAGATATGATAGAGCCCAATAGGCTCAGGAACCTGTACACCTGTTGATTGACGGTTGAGAGGCGGGATCAAAGAGCCAGAGCTGAAACCCCACAAACACAAATAGTTGAGTACACATTCCCAGGAAGCAGCCCGTAGCAGCTGTTTAACTCCCAGGCACCTATTTACAGCCAAGTGGACAGGGCCATCAGGGTGAAAGAAACTACCGATTTATTTCTGCCTCGGGCGGGAATCGAACACGGGCCCTTAGAACTGTGACCCCCGAGCGCTGTGCGCAGTGAAAGTGTGTGTGTGTGTGTATGTGTGTGTGTGTGTGTGTGTGTGTGTGTGTGTGTGTGTGTGTGTGTGTGTATGTGTGTCACTCTGACAGAATATTAAAAATATACTTCACAGAGTCCAAAACACTCCCGCCAAATTGATAATTAAATAGAGCAAAAGTTTTGTTAAATGATCTTAATTAGGCAGTGCACATCCCAGTCAAGTCGAGACTCCTGGAGTTACGCTCAGGCCGGCTTAGTTACTTCCTCCAGATCACACACTGTCTTCTCAGACTGTGTGTGTGGGTGGGTGACCTTCTAATATGTTTTGTCTGTCATTCTGTTTGTCTCTGTCTCTCTCTCTGTCTCTCTCTCTCTCTCTGTCTCATATTCGTGATAATGACTAATATTTAATACATAAAAGACACAGCTGGATATATGTATTCATGTGTCAAGTGGATGTGTTTGACAGCGTTAGTGGTTGTGGTGTGCTCACACTACACACACACACACACATACACACACACACACACACACACACACACACACACACACACACACACACACACACACACACACACACACACACACACACACACTCACACTCACACACAAGGAAACTGAGTACTCACATGAGCCACAGGGACGTTAGAAAGAACTTTTTCAGTGTCAGAGTAGTTAATAGACGGAATGCATTAGGCAGTGTTGTGGTTGAGGCTGACTCCATACACAGTTTCAGATGTAGATATGATAGAGCCCAGTAGGCTCAGGAACCTGTACACCAGTTGATAGACAGTTGAGAGGCGGGACCAAAGAGCCAGAGCTCAACCCCCGCAAGCACAACTAGGCGAGTACAACTAAGTACAACACACACATATGACTCCTCCCTCACCACCCAGGATGCTCACCCCACACACCTGTGCTTCTCACCTCATACTCCGGCTCACCAAATAAAAAACACACACGAAATAACCCTCAGGGAAGCCCCCCCCCCCCTGTGCCGCTCAAGACCGGACCGGGGCCTCGGTGAAATATTTGAACCGACAGATAAACGTCGGAGGCAAGGCCATCCAATTCCCACTGGGGTTATAAAAGTTTCCTCCTAAATCCTCCTATCTAAAAACAATTTCTCGTCCTCTTGAATCACCGACTCGTCTAGGTGACAGAGGAGCGTATCTAACTCATAAGGACTTGTCCCAAGACGGTCACCCAGGAGGCTGCTCGCTTCACTGATAGTCCCTTCTTCGTGGGGGTGACACGCGGTCAAGCGCCTCACCCCGTGTCTGGGAGAGGGACCACGTGACCCCGAGTATGTCACCCCCTCTTCCTATCATCTCCCAGCTAACCAGGCGCCTCCGAAGCCACAGTCTTCACCGGAAAACAAAAAGACTCCCGAAAACCTCTCTCTCTCTCTCTCGTCTGGGAGAATAGCGTCGTTGGGACTGCAAGAAAGACCGGTTATATCGAAACTCTGACAGCTGAATCGTCTCAACGTTAGGCCTCCAC